GCGACAGACTTCCCAAATCCACCTTCGCTTTTATAGCCGTGGTCTCTCATCTTGATTACACGAAGTAATTTACTATTACTACTCTAAAATATGAATTACATCTGAAATAATCAAATACATGAAATAGAATGATTAATAGTACATTTCCCTTTTTTTAGGAAATGACCTGTATGTATCTGTGTGAAATCAACAAAAGAATCAAATACTGCATTATCTTTAGTTACATTGATAATATTTATTTATGGAAAAACAGTGGAAAAATATCGCTGTTGCTTTCGTATAAATGAAGCGGACATACCTGAGTGGCCGCGATCTAATCCTGTTTACATAAAGTAAGCCTGCTCCCAAGCAGGTTTACGCTTACGGATCTGTTGCTATGACAGCAAGTCCCGGATGAGCTTCGGAACGATCCAAGATCACGCGAAATCGTCAACAATCAAATCCAGCTAACTTACTTAGCGAGGTACAAAGAACGGACCCCAGAAGTTTATCCACCTGAGCCAGTTTTGCTGTTAGCAACCTTTACGCCATCATCAGCTCTGTCATCCATCATGGCTGACAAACGAGCACAACGAGCTCCTGTACATGATGATGCTCCGCCTCCTTGAGCTGCTTTTACTGCCTCTGAGAGAATGCAGGCTACGTCCGTCTTTTATGTACAGTCTGTGGCTGAGACCCGCTGCTCATGCAGTCGAACAAAGACACGAGGTTAAAGCATACACGACACGCGACATGCCGACCACATCTGTGCAGCTGCTGAAGGAGAGAACATCTGTACACACTTCAATGAAAAGAGGCAGATTTGCTGAAGTTAGTCTGAACCCTGCACACGACGACATTTACTGTGTCTGATGTTCTGTTTTTGCACAGTGAAGCGTGTCAGTACACCGTGCATGTGACAAATAAACAATCTTTTCCTGCTGAACCTCAGAGGTCAGAGGTCGTGTACCCCTGCCATTATGTAAGGCGTTGTCAGAGCGGTCCTTCACCTGCAGCAGTGTGAGTGCGGCGTGTGTGTGGTTACCTTTGACGTGCGTGTCAGAGATGACTTTCTGGCCGTTTCCTCTGATCAGAGTGTTGATGACGTCCAGCTGCTCGCTCTGAATCTGTCCTCCGGTCTGCTCCTGGAAGTCCTCCACCTCCTCTCCAAACTCGTCCTCCACCTGTGCCACGCCCTGACTGAACACAGCGACCACATGTGTGGACACACTATCACCATGTGAGAGCCTTTCAGCTTCCTAATGCACAACAACTCTTCTTGATTCTCCAAAGTCAAACATCAACCAAGAGTTAGAAATTTCAGGAGCTGCAAACTTCCGTTTTAGCTGAGGCCCACGTGATGGCGATGCGAGTGTGTGATTTACCCCGTTATGAATATCTGTCCTCCCTCCTGGCCGCCCAGCTGGTCACATGCTCGCCTCAGAGAGGGAGGAGGATACGAGGCGACTCCCTCTGAAACGATCACGGGACAAAAACAGTGATGGTGAGATATGCGGTGAAACGGGAAACACCTGAAGGAAGTTAACCCCTTCCTTCAGGTGTTCCAGAACACTGATCTGATCTGATGGGAAACATCTTACTGTTGAGGGCGGAGAGGAAGACTCTGATGAAGCGCTGGGCGTAGCCCTGCTCGTCGGCCTTCAGCCTGTCGAGTCTGATCAGGTGCTGCTGTATCGGCATGCTGGCCAGCTCCTCCACCTCCGTGCGGTCGTAACGATCACCCACCGCCACCACAAACAGCGCCACCCCCTCACACTTGGCCTTCTGGGAGATGTAGCGCAGCTTGGCCTGGTCTCTGTAGGCCGTCTTGGTGCCCACCACAGTCAGGATGGCCCTCTTGCTGCGCGGCTGGCCGGCCTTCAGCAGCACCTCCCTCAGGGTGTAGTCCAGCATCTGTCCCAGCGCCAAAGAGCCGCCCTGCTGCTGCATGTTCTGGATCATGTACGTCTTCATGTCTCCAGCGTTCTGGTAGGTCTGCAGGCCGAACTCCACCTTGGCGCTCTGTTGGACCAGAGCTACTCGGGCCTGGCGGCCGGCTCGGCGGGGCTGTGGACTCACGGCCAGCTGCTCCACCACAGAGCTCAGCAGCTGCCGGGCACCGGCGTATTCATCGGCCTGGATCTCCCTGGAGCTGTCCAGCACCATGACCAGGTCCACATCCGCCTGCTGAGGCGGCACTGGTTCCTGGATGAAGGCGCACTCCTCTGCACGCCTGCAGGGGTCTGCAGAGACAGAGGTGACATCAGAAAGCGTGATGCTGATGACAGGAAGCTACAAGCGACCCGTCGTGTTTGTGCACATCAGATCTTGGACTACTCGACAGGAACCAGGATGCTGTGGCACAGAAGCATTTAGAAAAGACGCCAGCATATTCTAATCATTGAACCTCATGGAAGGTCTAACAGTGTGCTCTGATATCAGCCAGCGCGCTGTTACCCATGGGTTCAAAGGTCAACAGGAAACACTGTGCACAGATCCATCAGATCATTCATTATGCATTTATTATCACTGCGGACTTTCAACCCCGAGTACTGAAAACATGTTCTTCAAAAAGACTGCAGTGGTCTCATTTTTCATGCACAAGGAGTCAGTACTAGTTTGGCAGTGTTCTGCTCGTCTCTACGCCGTCGACCACGAAAAGTCAGAAGAAAGATCCGAGCAGAAAACGATGCTCACCGTAGCAGATGGCGCAGTTCCTGACCGTCCTGAGCCCGGTGGCCCGTTCTCCCAGCACCGTGAACACAAAGTTTCTCGAGTCATCAACCTGACGGGAAACATTAAACAAAGCGCTGAGTACAAGGTTACAATGAAATCGACTCATTAGACATCGTTGTTCAGACACAGACGATTTTAAGTGATTAAATCTGAGCTTCCTTTGTTTGCAGAGACGCTCGCAGTGAAGCATCGGCTGTTTGTTCTGCAGAGCCGGATGTTGTCCTGATGTTTCCACATGTGAAATGTGTTAGTTTGATCTTAATGAAAGGACAGCAGAGCGGTCCTGGAGGTGCACCATCATTGGCTCATGCTTTACTTTCTCCTGGAGAAAGTAGTTTTCTCCTGGGATCGCTCCCACGGAGGCCATGTTGTTCTGGGTTCTTCTGTGACCTCCTGGTTGAATCGTTGATGCACTCTTGGAGTCTTTCGGTTGTCCAGTTGCTCCTGAGAAGGTTCAGCCTGTTCCAGGTTTTCTCCATGTGTGGATTATGTCTCTCCCTGTGGAGTCTCACAGCCTCAGAAATGTCTCTGTGACCTTACAGGCTGACTTTGCTTTCAGCTGCTTCTGCAGGTCTTGGTGTGATATGATCTTCTAGCCTGCTTTACTTTGTCAGACAGCTTCTAACTAGGAACTAATTGTACTGATTCATACAGGTGCAAACTACAGTCAAGATGGCGCCGGTGCACAAGCCTTGCCGTCCTTGGCTGTATCTGTTTCGCTGCTTTCTACCCTCTCTACGCTCTTTTATGGACCTTGGCATTGTATTTTTGATCCTTTTAGTTCTCATCTAATGGCTGAGCACTGATTACATACGACAGGCCAACACTTTTAAATCTAAGACTCTCTCATTCCTCTCGGGCTGATCCTTGCTGGAATCTGGGCGACACCACCGCGCCCTGACTGGACCCTCCGACCGGCTTCTTCCACCTACCTCTTCCTAACTAAGAAACGCTACAGGAAACGCGGTAGAAGGAGTGGCCATCGCGTTCGCCTCAGGGTCTACTTTACAGCCAGAGCCACAGGCTACCCACATGCCAGCCTGGACATTTGATCTTTTTCCCTCCTTCCAGGAGTGCTCTGATGCTAAGTTGCTCACCCACCGTTGGATCTGCTCGGCTGACCACGAAGCCTACCCTGCCCTTCCTGTGGCATGTTTTCCTGCTCGGGTTTGGATAACATCGCTCCAACGTTTGCCGAAGCAACCTAAGTGTCCTACGACGCACCACCTGTGGCGATTTAGCCCCTAGGATACGTATGGCATTGCTTAATGTCAGGCCGCTGGTCAATAAGACTTTTCTCTTAAACGACTTCCTCTCCACTAATGGGGTTGATGCTTTATTCCTGACTGAAACCTGGATTCTTCCTGGTGAGTTCATCCCTTTTTCCGATCTTCTTCCATCGGACTGTGTCGCTTTTAGCTTACTGGTAGGGGTGGCGGCGTAGTCCTCCCTTCCCCCTGTTTTATATCCTCTCCCCATTCCTGAGTGCATTTCAACTTTCCACCAGTTTGAGCCTGTGTCACTTTTGTCTCTTAAGCGGCTAGTTGATCAAATGAATAAACCAATACTGTGCTTGACATTCTTCCATCTCGAATAGCTAAGGACTGTCTTGATGTAATCGGACCTAGTATCCTATTTCTTATGAACCTTTCCTTGCTCTCAGGCTGTTCCTTCGGCCTTTAAGCGTGCTGTAGTCCACCCGATTCTTAGAAAAAGAAACTCTGACTGTTATGACCTTTCAAACTACAGACCAAACTCTAAGCTCTCGTTCTTGTCCAAGATCCTGGAGAGATTAGTCCTCCCAGCTTCAGGCATACTTGGAAATTTCTATCTGCTTTTAAGCCATTGCATAGCACTGAAACGGTGTTGGTTAGAGTTCTTAATGATATTCTTGTAATCACTGATACTGGACGCTCTATGGTCCTAGTTTTACTGGACCTCTCTTTGGCTTTTGATATGGTGGACCATAACATCTTATTATTAAGACTAGTCTCACTGCGGGTGTTAGAGGCACTGCCCTCGACTGGTTTAGATCACACCTCGCTGACAGCTCCTTTTTGGTTAACTTAGGCACCTTCTCTTCCCCTGCACCGGTCTGGTAGGGGTGGCGGTGTAGCTTCGGTTTTTAAAAATTCATATGCAGTTCGGCAGCTACCCTCACCTACCTACTCTAGTTTTGAAGTCCAGTTATTGGGGATGACTGCATCCACAATCACTCTGCGTGGTGGTTTACCGACCGCCTAAATAGAGCAAATGTTTTATCACGGACTTTGCTGATCTCCTAGGCTCCGTTCTTTTTAAGTATGGTTGTGTTCTCATTGTTGGTGATTTTAACATACACACTTGCTGTAAGGATGACCCATTTGCTAAAAGACTTCCTTGCTTTAACGGACTCTTTTAACCTGGCTCAGTGGGTTAATGACCCAACCCATGTTAAAGGACATACTTTGGACTTGTTTTTTTCACATGGTCTGGACATTTGTTTTGTGTCTTTATGTGTGCAGAGGCAGAACGTACCAAACAGGACCTCACCTGTCATGTAACCTGTAAGCATTTCTGGGTGTACAGATGGGTGGGCCAGAAAAACAGTGAGTAGATGTCTGTACAGAGCAGGAGCGTCTCAGCAACATGAGACATCATTGGTCAAGGCCACAAACGTGATTCCTGGGACTCCTCCTGCTCCACAGAAACTCTTCAAGTTTCCGTGGTAGCTGCAGGAGTCGCTGTGACATTAACAGATATTTTTATACTCGATGCGCTGACGTCATCATTTCTGGTGTTGGTGTCTCATACAGAAAGTGGATTTTCCCTCCAAGAGTTCAGAGCCTTCTGGAAATCTAAATGGTGGCAGAGTTGGTATAAACGAGGCTTTATTTAAGAAGTTTGTTTGAAGTAAAGGAGCAGCACTTCAAGCACTATCGTCAGATGTCTCCTAAAGAGGAAACGCATCTTCATCTTCCTCGTGATGTGGTTCTTTCCAGAGACTTTGGTCTTCTGGCTCAGCTCCCTCTTCATGCCTACTGCTGACACCGCTCCACTTTCCTGTTGGATTTTGTAATCAGTTTTCCAGCTTCAGCAGGGATTGGGAAAACTGCTGCGATCCCTTTAGTCCTGTGCTAATGTGCAACCCGCTTCAGACCGAAGGCAAAACAGTCTGAAGAGACGGACTCTGTGCTGACGCAGTCAACATCTGGATGAAAAACATCTGCAGGTAGCTGCAGGTAAATGTCACCTACCTGCATCGCTTGTTCGATATCGGGAGTGTTCCTCAGAGAGATGACTGCTGGAACAATGTTGAGGGCCCGGTACTCCATCATGGCCGTCACAATGTCGTTAGCCTCCTCTGTAGGCCCGCTAGAAAAGAAGACGGCCACCTTCCTCATCATTATTCCTGCTCGGACTCGTTTGAAGATGTTCTGACCCACGAAGCGCATGGCGGCGCCCAGCTGCCGTTTGTTGGACGTCCTCTCCTGGGCGATGTTCCTCACGGCCTCTAGCAGCTGTGCCTTGCGCCGGTAGTCCTGGAAGCGGATCAGGTACTTGGTGTAGGTGTTGTATCCCACCACAGCGACACGTGCGCCGTGCGGGCAGTTACTCTCTGCGATACTGATGTCATTCAGCAGGGAGAGGAGGGCGGAGCGCTGCCTACCGAAGTCCCCCGGGGTCACGTCATCAGACATGTCGAGACCGAACACCAGCTCGGTGGGGTAGGCCGGGCACGCTGACCGATCTGACGGGCAAAGAGGAGCTTGTGTTAAACTTTCAGCAGCCGCCCGTTCATCGGTGACCAGGTTGGCGTCACGTTTATATCGGATTATACGAATCTGTTTACATAAAGGATGTTTTACAACAAACTGTAGAGTTAAACGAGTCGGGGTAAAGGTGAGCAGTCCCAGCAGCATCTATCAAAGGGAGGCTGTGAACGCCTCTCATGCTAACGTCCACACTGATGAGCCTCAGCTCTGTTTGCTCATGCAAAGCTGCTCTTATACCATCGGAGACTAAACAAGGACCGAGACAGTCAACACGTGGATGTTGGTGCTGCTGAAGGAACAATTCGTCTTATAATAATAATGCATACTTTATTGATCCCCGTGGGGAAATTCCTCTCTGCATTTAACCCATTCACTCTGTGAAGCAGTGACGCTTATTACCTTTGTGCCCGAAACCCAAGTTTGAATCACAGACTCTCACATATGATCTGTGTAATTCTTAGATACAACCTGGTGCTCCTGGTTTCTGCAGTGAAGCCGTAAAAATAAAAAACAGTTCATTAACCTGCTGGGACCTGGCGCCCACATATGGGGACGTCAGATGTTGGGTTGTTTAGACAAAAATACTCAGCTTTGCTTTCAAAGGAGCCGTTTTGTTGTTTCTCATTTTGCTCCTGTGCATCATTGCTCAACTGTGACTTTATAGTTTTCTATCAAACACCATAAAGTCACAATAGCAAAGAGAATTAAAAATGCATGCCATGAAAGAGTCTTAGGAGGTTAAATATACTTAATTATACTTAAATATACTTTCTAATGAAAGTGTTTCAGGTCGAGGTCACACAGGAAATCTGTGTTTGGCTGATTGTTTCTTTGTTGTAAAACTGCTGCTTTCTTCCCTACGTTTGAAAGGAGAAAGATTTTTGGGTTGAGCAGAAACTGAGCTAAGAGGTGGCTGTGGTGGATACTGGGCACCAGTACAGCTGCCCAGCAGGTTTCTAAGTAGTGCAACAAACCCAACACAAGCTGCAGCCTGACACCAAGCATGCCGCGTGTGATTGGACCTGCATCGCTCTTTGTGCAAAGTTTGTATAATTAAAAAAAATACATCTGCGAATGAGTCAAAGATGCTCAAAGACCACTGTAGTGGTGCAGAGAGAGACGTGTGTGTTTCCAGTACAGAGACCTGTCGGGTGCAGAGCTTATCAGGGGTGGAAATATTCACAGCTGACCCACACATCTGCACGGACCCACGCATCTGCACGGACCCAC